CAGCAGCAGCAGCAGCAGCAGCAGCAGCAGCAGCAGCAGCAGCAGCAGCAGCAGCAGCAGTAGTAGTGGTAGTAGTAGTAGTAGTAGTAGTATGTTTTTGTTGTTTAGGCGGAGAGACACAGAAAAGAGACAGGCAGCAGACACAGAGAAGAAACAAAAACAACAAACACAGAGACAGAGAGAGAGAGAGAGAGACAGAGACAGAGAGAAATAGAGAGACAGAGAAATAGAGAGAGAAAGAGACAGAGACAAATAGAGAGAGACAGAGACAGAAACAAATACAGAGAGACAGAGAAAACGGAGACAGAGAGACAAAGAAACGGAAGAGAAAGAGACAGATAGATAGAGACAAACATAAATAGACAGAGAAAACCCAAAGACAAACACAGGAGGAGACAGCAACAGAGACAAAGAGACAGAGACAGAGACAGAGACAGATAGAGACGGATATAAAGAAACAAGGAGACAGAGAGACAGAGAGAGAGAGAGACAGAGAGAGAGAGATAAAAGTATAGAGACAAAGAGACAGAGACAGAGAGAGAAAAGGAGACAGAAGAAAGAAGAGAAAAGGAGACAAAAGCATCAGTTGCTGTTTACTTGTGTCTTATAGAATTCGTCTTCTCCTATACTTTTTTGCTGCTGCAGCAAACGGAGACGATTCACAGCATCGCGACGCAGACCCCTAACAAACAACAACGCAACACACATACTCCTGCTGCTGCTGCTGCTGCTGCTGCTGCTGCTGCTGCTGCTGCTGCTGCTGCAGGTCGTTGTGGTGCTGCTGCTGCTGCTGGTGATGCTTGCACTAATGTGCTCCTGGGGCTGATGCTGCTGCTGCTTGTGCTGCTGCTGCTGCTTGTGTTGCTGCTGCTGCTTGTGTTGCTGCTGCTGCTACTGCTGCTGCTTGTGTTGCTACTGCTGCTGCTGCTGTTGCTGCAAGAGGAGACAGACCGCATGGAGACTTTTGCTGCTTCTGCTGCTTCGCGGGCCCGGCGCACCTCCGCCTCGCTGCAGCAAACAAAAAAAATAAAAACAGAAAAAAGATAGAGAAAAAAAAGACAGAGAAAAAAAGAGATTAAGAGATAAGGAGACAGAGACAGATATAGAGATAGAAAGATAGAGAGATACAGAGACAGATAGAGAGATAAAGAGATAAGGAGACAGAGACAGAGAGAAAGATAGAGACATATAGAGAGACAGAAAGATAGAGAGATACGGAGACAGAGAGAGAGATAGAAAGATAAAGATAGAGACAGATAGAGGGACAGAAAGACAAAGAGATAAGGAGATAGAGACAGAAACATATAAAGAGAAAAGC